TTTCTGACATTAAAAGAGGCTTGCCTTTTTTTTTATATAGTATGGGTGCATATCGAGATATCACGTTGAAAAAAAGAAAAGAAAGCAATTGTATTTTGTTGTTTACAATCGAGGAATTGTCTACGTAGTTTACGTAAAATTGTAAGTGTCATGGGTAGAAGTATCTGATTGGGAATTGTACTTGACGAAACTGTGAGGCAAAGGTGAAAGACAGTATGGTTAATCTTGTTCCTGTGGTGCGTGTGCTAAATTCGAATGTTGGGAAGAAAGCACTGTTATATTATATTTAGTTTTTTGTCATCTGGACAGTCGAGAATACTCTTGGTAGATAGGATTCAATTTTTAAAGCTGTAAATACCTGGTTAACTATTAATATTAATCAGTGGATGAGGTACGGATTAGATAGCGATATGAAAAACGGTAGCGAACGTGGGTGTTAGAACTTCGAAAGATAAACTCGAGTAACGGGCATTATGAGTTTTCAGCATCCACCGATTTCTTTTTAACTGTTCACATTGCTCAGCGAGCTAGCAGGGTGATTCACAAAAATCCGGTGCACAGGTGGTTCGCAAGATTTTCGAGTGGTTCAGTGAACGACAACATACTGAGAACCACGACGAATCACGAAGAGTCCTTAAATAAGTATTACAAATGTTACGCAGGCTCATAGATTACAAATTTTCACGTTGCAGTGTGCTCGTTATCGATAGCCACTTAATGTACGTAAAAAAGGAGACGAGAGTTCCGCTTCATACCTTGACGAGAGAGAGTCTGTCCTTGCAGTAACGAGTACAGAAACACGTGGTTGTGATAAATCGTTCGTTATACTAGCTTCGTGTGATTTATTTTATAACCGACTCCGTGTATATAATGCACTTCAAGCAAATTTTAAATTTGTTTATAAACTATGAAAAGCAGAGAGGTGGTATTGATTTTTTTTTTCTTCTTTTTTTTTCTTGAATTTCTACCTAACTGGCTACCGAAACATCTTACACCTATCAACGACCGCCAAAGCGTTTAGCCGTTGCTATTCTCGGCGATGACCGTTCGGGAAGTGCCTTTGTTCCATTGCTAGCGTTTCTTTCGTCTTTGTAGCGTTTAAACAAAGAGATCCCACGCATCTGTCTCTTCTCCGTTCTATCCTGTACAATGAACTTCCCGTATTCTTTGCTAGATTTCGGATAAACGTGTCTTCTCGAGTGTTAACGCCAGAAAAAAATACCCTCCAATGAAAAATCCGAGCTTCTGTGATATCTTCCGATCCCTTATACAACTGAAACTTAATGTTTAAGCCATCCATGTTTGCGTATTTTAATACAAACTTTTTATATCCTAGTCCTCTCGGTCGCTGGGGATCGAGAGACGCATGAAAGAACGTTTCCTCGGCTCGAATCAATCCTGGACACTGTCGTTTCTCCGGAGCAACCGTGACAGTGGCGACTGCCTTGCTCTTTACACCTTCGAAGTCTTCCAACTTTTATCCGATGCTTCGTAACGAGACAGACAGCACGACAAGGGAGACATCACGTTTCGTCTTCACTCGTTGGAATACATTCAGTGCCTTAGTCGTTGCCCACGAGAGCATGTCTCTTTGCGTCTTCCAGGTATTCATTTTTACCTGACAATTCGTCTCTGTTCCTATTTTCGATGCCCCGACCGTTCGAAAACGTTCGCACAATGGGAAACAAACGGAAACCGAGCTCGAGCTTTCTTTCCCTCCGACGCACCGCGACGGACGTCAACTATCGGATCGTTCCATCCGTGTCGGGACGTGAACGTTCGATCGTGGAAAATGTGATCGCCGGCGCCATTGGAATCGCTCGATAACACGTGCAACTTTTATCAATAGACGAACGGCAGCCTTCCACCGCGTCGGCCGTTCCGATTAATTTCGATCCGATCGCGCGTATCGCCGGCGAGATGGGATTAACAATTGTGTCTTTCACTTTTGCGTGTACCGCGTTCTCTTGTAAACCAGAACTTTAGTTTTTTAACGAGACAATATTTAGGCGTAAGTTACAAGCGAGACCAAAAATTAAAGGGATACTGTGCTAATTCATAAGGATTTACGATTAAATTTATTCGCATCGTTCAGCGTTGACGCGCTCGACGGGAAACGGAAGAAGAAAAACAAATAAGAAGACGAGGAAGATGATGATGATGATGATGATGATGATGATGATGATGACGATGAAATTGTTGTAGATATATTATACATTTTGATAAAAAAAACAAACAAACAAACATAAGAGAACGAACAAGAAAAGCAATGCGAAATCATCGGTACGAACTTCGCGGCGTGGAAATCCTAACGAAGCGAAAGGAGAAATCACGGGAACTGCATAAAGAGGCGCCAGGCGTGCCTGGCGGTTTCTAATAAACAATCAAACGGGGAATCATTGTGTTTCGTAACCGGGGTGAACAACACCAGACGCGAATGCAGACAAACTAGAGGTACAATTAGGAGGAAACGGAATTTACTAATGAACTAATAATATAATGTAAGATTTCTCGGTAAAGGATACTTCAGTTTTATTCTTTTAAACACGTAGCAGAGATACGAGTAATATATGTGCACATTTATAGGAATCTCCGACGTGGTACACGCGCAGGGTGAGACGGTGACGAGAATTTTCATTTGTAACTGTATCTTCGCTGAGACCTTTTCTTTTCGGATCGTCGATCGATGGAAGATTAATATATAGAGAATGTATATACAATTCTTTGCTATATTTTCTCTGAAGGCAGTGAATTTATATCACTGTTGATCATATTCGAAATTATGTGATATTAATTGAAATGCTTAAGATTCATAACGAGAATGTCGATGGGTGTTCGAAACTGTACAGGATACATAAAATACCGTAGCTTCTTTTATATATTTGTCAAGAGTGATCGTTAGTGGTCGTTCGGAAAATGTTATTAATAAAAATTCTATTTCGTGTGCAGGGGGCTTACAGGAATTTATTTCTCGAACTTTCTCTGCAGAACGCGTTCGCGAATGTTCCGATAGCGTTTGATATTTCATGAAGAACACGGAATTTTCATTTAATTCTCTTAATAAATTGAATGTTTCCGGAGAGATTCGAGATTCGCGCGTCTCACCTTGCATCGTGCAACGTGCCGGATTCTTATGGATGATTCAAACACGCGTCCTTCATACGTCTCAGCCTCAGTTGCATCGTTTAGAGAAGAAAAGTGGAAGATACTACATATTTTGAAAGACGAAGCTGTTCCCATAGTTTTCACGGGAGACTCGAGGGAAATAATTAGGATAGGTCGAGGGCGAAGCGAAACGCCGAAAATGGAGAAAAGAGAGTAAAGAGAACAAAAGAGAAAAAAAAGAGAGAGAGAAAAACGACGGACGAGAAAAGTAAGTTTCAATCACAGCACTGTGATACGTGTAATATTACTATTTCGACGACATATCAGTTTCACGATCCTTCTACATTACTATTATTATTATTATTATATAAATATACATACATACGATACATGCATACATAACATTAGTACGAAATTCATATTTTGGGCAATATTTATATATATATATACATACATATACATACATATGTATACATAAATGTTTTATATATATATATATACATATTTAACTACGCACTTTTACTATTTTTCGTAAGCACATGGTCTGAAAACCATTCGGTACCCGTAACAATAGAACGCGACGTGCGTATGCGTGCGCGGCAGATGCGTGTGAAACGAAATTTTCGAGTAGACGAGAGTCAAAAAGGAGAATGTCGATTGTTTTTCGGACAGACAGATTTCGCGTGTAGCGTTCCGCTGGCATCGTTGTGTTTTCCGTTCTTCGCGAACAATCACGGGAATACTCTTGATTTTTGCGAGACGAACGAACGAACGAGATTTCGTTTGTTCCGCGACAATGGCGGCGCAGCTCAACGGATGCAAATGTTTCCGTCGTCCGGCGGGATTCAGTGATAACGTTTCTTCCTAGATTTCCTATTTTTCCGTTGCTCGCGAACGTCGGAATGAAAATTTCGGATGCTCGGCTCTTTATTTACGAGTGAAATCGTTTCGCGTCGTTTCGAGGCGAATTCGAGGGTGAACGCAGGTTGTCGATAATCAGTGATATTCGTTGTGATATCGTTGAAATTATTTATGTTCACCGAACGAGACGCGAAATCGTGGAGACGATTCGTGGATCTCGAATCCGTTCCTTTTCGAAAGTGGCGAAACGTCGGGAACTCGAAACATCGTATCTTGAGTTGCACTTTCATTACCGAACGAATGATTGCTGAGCAATGTCGGATCGAGTACGCGTTAATCGAACAGTCAAAATTTGTTTTATTGATCTCAAGTGTTTTCTCCGATCATAATCAGTAATATGTAGGGCATTTTAGGTATAAGAGCGTGTAGTGATTTCTATATACAGTGTAACACCGTTATTTGACAGACTTCTTTATCGTTATTTCTTGAGAGAGAAAAAAACACACACACACACACACACATACAAAGTTATCCTCCCTCCTTTCCAGCGATCTTCGTCCCTATGTATACGTGATAAGTGATATATCTGCTAATGGAATTCTCGATTTCCGCGTTTTCTCGGTATATCCACGCGAGACCGTTATTAAATAGCTGATAACAATGTACAATTTCATTCGGATGATTTTTCATTTAGAAAGCCTTATTCGTTTATGGGTATTGTTCATCGAACAAAATCGATTTCTATATTATTTACAATGTATAATAAATTATTATGTATTTATTGCAATTTGTATATGTAACAATTTTCAATAA